CTGTTCCCCATCTGTTCATCCTTTAGCCTGGATTTGTGCTTGGGATTGCCCTAAGGTGCATCACCTTGCACTTGGCCTTGTTGAACTTCTTGAGCTTTGCACAGACCTGCTCCTCAAGCCTGTTGAGGTCCCTGTAGATGATGAGCTCCCTGTGGATGGTATCCCTTTGCTCCAGTGCAATGACTGCACCAACTTGCTGAAGGTGCTCTTGATCTGAAGGGGTTGCTGTCCATTCTGTCGGATTGAAAGTGCTTTGGGGTATTTAAACGACTCAGATATATCCTATTCCAACACAGAAGAATTTAGATATTGGTAACTTTTCCTCCTTGAGTTATCTAACCACTGAGTTATCTAATAGTGATGTTTAAGAGCAGTGTTTGTAATGATTTATTGGTATTTCCAGCAGGTTCTGCAGCCTGTCTTTCCCTAGTGCAACTGCTAACACTGTTGTGTAATACCATTCACTCTGTGCATTCATCCTCAGTGTTGTTTCTGTGGCATCTTCGGTACGGTCAGAGCACGTGGGTGATAATTCTAACACTGAAGATAAATTAGCAGTGTATTGGCTGGCAGTGAAAACTAGAACAGGACCTTTACACCTCTGCCAGGACTTTGATCCAGCATTGCACATTCCACTTTAAATTTACAGCATTTTAAGCTGCCAAATGATGATGACTAACTGCTTAATCCTTTTTTAACTTTTTTATCCATTTGAATTCTGAGCATGAGTTTCCCTCCTGGGACTGTTTCTTGATTTCCTGGATGGCCCAGGTGGTTGGTGAATGGAAGTTACTGGTGTTTGTCCATCTGCTACAGCCAGAGTGTAAGTGTTTGAAAACATCTATTGTCACATAATTGTTAATGGAGTTCTAGTGGTGTGACAAAAGGTGACTGGTCATTTCTAGATATATCTTACATAGCACAAGTGCCAGTGATTCCTTTGGAATGCCTTTCTGGAATAATATTCCAGAAATACTCAGGACCTGTCTCCCCCTGCAGCCAGCAACTAGAAATTTTGTATTGTAAAAAGGGGGACGAAGGGAGGGTGGGTGAAACTTGTATACTGTGACAAAACAGTATCTAGACTCCACACTAGCAAATGCTGGATAATATGCCATCCATTTTACATATGGCTTTTAAATTTAAATTGCAAAAGGGAGATTGGGTTTGGGCCTTCCCTTATGTAGATGAAGTACCACACTAAATGTTAAGCAAGAAGGTATCTCTGATTCCCTCATAAAATAATCTGAATTACTTGTGGAAATGCAGGACTGAAGTGCAGTTGGGAAGAAAAAATTAAGATGACTGGTGAAACACACTTAGGATGCAAAAGATGTGGAGCATCTATCAGAAGAGGAGAGTTGTGCCTAAATATGGATCCTCCACTCAACAGAACCCAATGACCTTAATTTCCAGGATTGCAAAACTGAGGTATTCATCACCTGTAGATTTCCTGCTGGACAGCTGAAGTGTGGTATGGACTGACCTTGGTCTTCATGGTTAAATAGATTAAGAAATTGAGCTCTTGAGGGAACCTAGGGGTGCTGTAGCTGAGCATCAGCTTTTGAGATCTTGGAAATTTTGCTGATGCAGTTGTAGCTCCATAGCAGTTTTTCTCAAACTGAAGATGTACAAAGTGAGCAGAAAAAGTAAATTACCTAACTGATTTAAAGTGTTTGAACTGCGGTGAACCTGCAAGCATCATTCCCATATCTCATAATCAGTCCAGATTAGTCAGGGGAGTGCAAAACAAAACGATTAAGATGATAAGGAGCTGGAGAGTGGCACATTACCAGAAATGAGATCCTCTCCTGAACATGGAATCATGGAATTGGTTACCTTGAAAAAGCCCATCAAGAACATTGAATCCACCCATTAACCCAGCACTGCCCAGCCCTCCACTAAACCATGTCCCCAAGTGCCACATCTTCATGTCTTCTAAGTACCCCCATGGATAGCAACTCAGCCACTTCCCTGGGCAGGGAGGTGCCAGGCCTTTTCCTGGCCTGGGCATTCTGGCCCAGTGCCACCACAGCCTCTGTGTTGCTTTCCCACTGCAGCAGCAGGAACCATGCAGTAAAATGGTGACATTTCCAAGCAGAGGTGCTTGGCCTAGTGCCACCATATCCCCTTACCTAACTTAAGACTTGCCAGTGGAGCTGCCACAGGAGGCTGTTCCTCTGTCCCCCTGCCTTCCATCAGCTGTTCAATCTGGGAGTTACCATCCCATTCTTCAATGATAGCCCTGCTCTGGAGCCCCTCTCTCTGTCCAGCCTATCTTGCACCACCCATCCCCAGGGACAATGGGAGAAAATACGTAAACCAGCTCTCTAAACCAATGCAGGGATTATCTTTGTAGCTGAAGAGAGAATGGTAGCAAGACCTCAGACCCCTGGGGCCAGTGCAAGGCAGCCAAGGGCATGGGTGGCTACAGCCAAGCAGATGGGTTTAGCTGTAGTGACACAGAAGATGGGAGTTGCAGTCAGCATTAAACTAAGTATAATTGCAGAGTGAGCCGTGCTTCAGAGGCAATGGCAGTGTGCAGTGTTGTGTAGGGGCATGCAGCACCTGATAACCCCTCCAGTTTACTGTTCTCTGTCCCATATTTCACATGCTGCCTTCAGTATCATTTTCCTTTACTCCAAGGCAGTAAAGATTAGTTTCTTCTGAGGTAGGGGCTTATAAAAAATGTTAATGCACTCTTCATCCAGTCCTGCATGATGGTTCTTGCTCTTTGTTTGTTTTTTTTTTTATTTGATCACTTTTTTCCCCTTGCTTAATAAATTCTTGCACTGTCACTACTTATGTAGTTATTTATTCTTTTCAGTAAGACCTGAAATCTGTCTTTCCCTGCAGTTTGCAAAACTGGGAAGCAGCAGACTGCTGGGCAGGAGTTGTATCAGCAGCTGGAAATACAAGGAAAGAGGAAGAAATGTTTCCTTCTAGCCCTGGCTCTCCACTTTATCCCTGCTTTCCCCTCTGTGGGCATATACTGGAGTCGGCAGGCAATTAGAAAGTTCTCTCATGACTTACTTCTCCTGGCTCTGGCTTTTCACTTCCTGTTGCTGGAGAAACTGCAGTCCCAAATTCCTTCCCCTGGGCTCAGTGGTGCTGCCAGAGCACTGCAGGCAAGCAGAGTTCTAGGAGATGCACCATCAGAAAGGCAGGATTAACTAGCAGCAGAGCAGGGCTGGACACCAGCACGGTCACAAAGGGCCTGAGAGCAGCAGGAGCTGCCATGGCTGTGGCTGTACAGCCCTTTCCCAGCCTGAAACTATCTGACAAGTGCTGACTGTGGAAAAGTATGATGGTGATGCTCAGTTAAGTGCACAAGGGTTAGAAATCATTCCAGGTGCTGGCTCAGAGAGGCTGCAAAAAGGCACTTTTACAGCACTGGCCCTGAGGCACCTTCAGCCCAGCTGGAGCTTGTCTCCATCTCTGGAAAGTGGTAAGTGGGAGGGGACTTTGCATTGGAACCACTGTAACTTTTCTAATTGCTGCCTTCAAATCTTCCAAAGCTCAAACTGGTTTGCAGCAGAGCAATGGGAGTAAAGAACTGCCGCCACCTCTTCTCAGAGCTTTAACTACTTGTACTCCTTTAGAGGGATTTGAGACTATAAATATTTTTTACACATCTTGTTCTTGTTTCACAGTCCTTGCCAGTGCTGCACAATATGCTTCCCTTTCTCCCCGAGCTGAACAGAAAACAAGCAAATGAAGCAGCCTGCCCCATCTTCCCCTCTAGCTAGAGTTCCTCTTCTGGACTTCGGGATTTAGCATCCTTTGCCAAATGCAGTGGGTGATGAAAACTACATGTTGAATGAAGGAAACCTCTGCACTTTTACTTGTTTACAAAACTTGCATTATGGTGAAGTGAAAACCATGAGCAGCCTGACTGCCACAAGTGTGATGAATGCCTGGGTGGGAGCTTGAGCTGGTTTTGGAAATGTCCCAGTACCACCAGTAAATGTGCACTATAACCAGCTGCCACTGCTGCACATCACCTTTTCTGTGAAGCAAATGAGAGGGCACATCTGCTTTCTCTGTGTTTATTGCATTACACTGAAGCAAACCAGCATGTGGTTATTTCCAGTTATTAGCTGATTATTTCACCAAGTCTAAGGAATACAAAGAAAAGCAATTAAATAGTTCAGGACCCAGTTAGCACTGAAGGGAGGCCCAGGCTGTGTGACTGGACAGAAAGTGTCCCATGCCAGGCTGAGGCCCCTGTGCTGCCCACACAGCAAGGCAGCAGTCTCCGTTTTGAGTGCACAAGAGCCAGTGAGCTCTGCTCTTGCCTCAGGTGGAAACTCAACCCAAGTAATTTCCTGGGAGTAACACGGTGAAATCCACATCCTGGAGAAGTTCATCCCTGCCCAGAGGGGTCCAGTGGTGACCACACTCAGTGTTGTCATCCCTTGTGCTGAAAGCTGCTCTGAGAAACCAAGGTTGGGTGACTCTTCTGGCTCATGCAAGATGGGACTTTCCTCTTGTCTCTCCCACATGTTGGTCATTCCCATACACCACTTCCCCCTTGTTTTAGTTCAAACACAAAACAATACTCAGGCCTCTTAAATGATGACCTCTACCAAGATTCTGGAGATGCTTCAAAATGGTCTCCTTCCTGTCATTCGTGAGGACAGAGAGGTGGCAGGTGAGCCAAAGAGCTGCTGGTGCTGCTGGCAGGAACAAGACTTTTAGGAATAGAAAGCCTAAAGTCACCATCTTAAAATGTCTTCAGGGACAGTGGCCAGAGAAATCCACCTGAAACACTGAAACTGCAAAGCATATCAGGATTTGTTGGTTGACTTAGATGTATCTGCAGGTTTTGTTTAGCTGTAGAAACAGTTTGCTAAAGAAATTATTGACATTGATATTCTATATTGTATAAGCCTTTTTTCTTGCTTTTTTATTTTTAAATTTTAATTTTTCCAGCTGTGGCTGGGGGCCCAAAAGCAACAAATCAGTGCTGGCAAGTTGTTTGAAGAGCCTGGAGGGTGCACGTCCTCACCAACCCTCCTCTTTGTAGATATTGTTCAGGTGGGTACAGATTTCATTGGTCACCTTCTCAAAGGAAGCTTTGCAGTCTCCCCCAAATTTCTCCTCCATCAGTTGTAAGATAATGTCACAGATAATCTAAACAAGGAGAAGGGAACAAACAGCCAGTGTGAATTTTTCTCCATATTAGAGGCATAAGAACTTACATATCTTTAGCTGGGATTCTTGGAGGGCAGAAAGGGGTACAAGAACAATTCAGAGCACATGACCTGCAGGGCTTGTAACAGGGCGTGGAAAATAAGCTGCATTATAGAATTCACCAAAAAAACCTGCTAGTTAATGTTCACAGGTGCAGTGAACATTAACTAGGGTAGTTAAAAACAGTTAACTGTTTTTAACTACCCTAGTTAATGTTCACTGCACCTATGACTTAAGGATGGCTGTATAGGACTCATGTGCTTCATCCATCCACTGCAATCCTTCTCCAGGCAGGGGACTGTCCCAAATATTTAGAGGCCATGATGGGCCCTTTGTTGGACACCTATGGAATACGTGGCTTGGGGGGTAAGTTTTTCCCTGACCTTTCCTGCTCGTTAGCTATCCAGCACTCTGTAGCAGAGTTCTTGCAGTCAGGTAGGTGGTATACTTTTAAATGCCATCTCCTTTCCTGTACAGCATTTACTGTTTTGTGTGCATTTTACCCCGAAAAAGTATTTTCAGACAGAAATCATCCCTTATTTTCCCTCTCATTGAAAATTTGGCCCACTGTTTTTGAAGTCACCTTCATTTTGGAAATAATCTTTGCCAGAAGGTGCCTCTTTTTGCTGTGTAAGGCAGATAAAATAGTTATAAATGCACTCCTCTAGTGACCTTAGGTGGATCTGGGCAAGTAATTTGATCCTGTATTTATTATTAGAGTTTGTTTAATTATGACAATGCTGTAGTCATTGTTGCTCAATAACAGCTGGTTTAGTTGTCCTGGAAAAGCTCAGCTCCTGTTACAACATACATAAGGGACTGAACTCCAGTGTTAAAGTACTTTTCTGTATCTTGTTCTTAAATGGCTGGTGTGGGAATAGTATTGCACTGAGAAAACCCTCTACAGCTCATGGGCAGCTGTGCTGCTCCTTCCACATCACCTGTGGCACCACATCTGCTGTCCAGCTGTCTTCCCCACTGATGCCAGATCTCTCACTCCTGCCATCTTCCACCACCTCCATTCTCTGAGGCGTATCTATGTGTTCCTACATACAAAGCCTATGTTCCTCAGTTCTACCCCTCAAAGGGGAAAACATGCCCTCCTTAAAATTACACCCTTTGGGAAGAGGGCTGCTCACTCACCCTGAAGTTTTTGGGGTCAATCTTCAGCTGGGTGGCATGTTTCTTGCCAAGTGGGGTCACTATCCCAAGAAAAGCCTCAGAGTTGTCCAGGTGTTGCACCATGTCATTGATGGCACTGAAAACCTTCTTGCCATGGCCCCTGACTTGGTCTGACTGTTTCATCTCTTCAGCAGAGTCCATGCCTTTGAAATGTGTGAAGTAGGACTTGGTGTCTGGGTGCTCAGTGAACATCCTGTTGAGGAAAGAGAGACATCCTGACTTGTGAACCAAGGTATCAGTGCAGGCATAGCCACATATTCCAGGCCTTGCCTTCTGCATTTATGTCCCTTTTCCCCTTCTCTTTATTAGAACAGATACTTCTGCATTCCTTGTTTCTCCTTTGCCTTTTGCACCTGTGCATAACCCCCATGCACAGAGCAGCCACTCCTCTCTCCCTTGCCTCTCCCCAGGGCACTTCCTTTGCTCATTCCACCTTAAAACCTATAATGAACTTATTCCACTCCTTCTAAAGGTAATATTTTCTCAGTGTTAACTCCGTGTTGCTTTCACAGAGAAGTGGGAGCACATTCACATGGGGTGACTGTGACAGTTTAATATTCCCAAAGATGTTTTGCACAGCAGATATGATCACTGTGATACTGGTGGGTGTTTTTATAGAGAAACCCTGTTATTTGTTTTGTTAATTAACCCCTTCCTGTAGTCCACTGCAAAGTTTTCTTACTGCCTGTGATGGATTGTTGTTTGAGTATGGGGTACTGCTCATTCCATTTATTCAAAAGTAACACAATCCAGTGTGTTTAAACTTACCTTTGATCAATTACAGTCATCTTGGTCAAACTCTTTTTAAAAAAACAATTTACTCCATTGGGTAAACTGGTTATCCACCTGAAATATCCATAGCAAACTCCACATTGCATTTCACAGAGTCACAAAATGGTTGGGCTTGAAAGAACTTCTGAAGGTCATCTGGGTCCATACACTGGTCAAGCCAGTTGCCCAGGACCGTGGTCAGATGGCTTTTGAGTATCTCCATGTATGGAGACTCAAAAACTTCTTTGGGCAATTTGTGTCAGTGCTCAGTTGCACTCAGAAGTAAAAAAAAAATTGTTTCCTGATGTTCAAGAGAACCTCTTGTGTTTCAGTTTGGGCCCGTTGACTCTGGTCCTGTCTCGTGGCACCACTGAGACAAGCCTGGCTCTGCCTTCTTTGCACTCTCCCTTCAGGTTTTTATGTACACATTGACAAGATTCCCCTGAGCTTTCTCTTCTCCAGGCTAAGCAGTGATGGCTTTCTCTGCCTTTCTCTATTGGAGAGATACTACAGTCCCCTCATCATCTTCCTGGCCCTTTGTTGGACTCTTTCCATCATGGCCACATCTCTCTTGTTCTGGGAAACCCTGACCTTCTCTATAGGCAATCCTGGGGCTGTAGGACACTAAAGCAAAACCTTCTAGAGTAAATTACCCCAGGGAGGCAAGCTGCTGGATGCTGCTAACATGTTATGGCTGCATTTCTGACCCTAACTGTGCTCAGATTGTGTCACCTGCAGAAGGAAAGAGCAGCATGTAAGACTTGGTGAGGGTAATCCAGGCACAAGGTGTGATATACAAGAAAGCTGGAGGGAGGGATAAATGTCTGATAATTAGAAATAGTATTTTAACTGATCCATGCTTATGGAGGTGATGTAAGACCCAGATGAGAGTGGAATATGTGAAAGGTGTACAGAAGAGTGGGAAACAGGATGGAAACTAAGAGAGGAAAGTCTACAGAAAGACTATAATACAGTGGAACAGATGGACTGAGGCTGAAGGAGAATCAGAAGTGAAATACTGAGTTGAAAAAAATAATTAAAACAGTTTAGAGGTAAAGAGGAAAAGGGAAATAATGCTCATGTTTTGTTCCCATTCTCTTTTATACCACACTTTATTTTCTTTACTATACTTGGGTGAAGATATTGTTCTTGTCTCTTCTTCTTTTCCCACCCCCTTACCCCTTTCTTTTTATTTTTCCTTGTGTGGATTCCTCCTCTTCCTAGCAAGGGCTGCATGAAAAACATCATGACATGCTCCTAGGCAGTAATTTCATCCTTGATGTTCCTCCTTCACCCCTCCAGGGCAGCAGTTGGATGGGCTCTTTCCTTACCTGACCAGCACAGCTGTCCCATTGTCCTCAGCATCCACATATATCTTCTCCCAGGCACCACGAGCACTCTGCACCTCTGCTTCAGAAAGTGACATTGTGGAGGAGATGTTGGCAACAGAGGGTGCAGCAGGAGGGACAAGGACAGGGAGGTCCTGGCAGGGTCTTTCTGCTCCAGTTCTCTCCTCAGGGCTCTCTAAATACTGCCCTGGGGATTTAAGAGATCTTGAAGGGTCTCTTTGTCTCTGTTACCCCCAGTAACATTTCTGCAGGTTTTAGAGCTACCTAATCACTTTTAATCAGGAAAGAAACCGACCACATGAGGAGGAGGACTAGCCCTGTAGTCATAGGTCAGGTGCCAAAGCAAAGGTCTCACCGTCTGAGGAGAGAAGGGAAAAAAGGCAGTTTTCAGTGGGGAAAAAAAAGATCAATTCTCTTCCCCTCTCACTGCTGCCAAAGCCAGTGCTTGGCTCCTTTTTCTGAAGGTGATCCTTGCCTGAGCATTAATTTTCCTGGTTTTCTCCCAAGAGTGCTGCTGTGCTGAGGGCACTGTGGTGCCCTGCCATCCCCTCTCCCTGGCACTCTCTGGTCTTTCAGTCAAAGATCCTGTTTCTAGCTCCAGTAACTCTCTCCAGTCCTGCCTTCGTGCCATGGTCTCTGCTTTCCCCACAGCTCTCTGGCTTAACAAGGGCTCACCCCACAGCTGCTCCCAGCCTTGGTCCCAGGAGGGTGGGAGGCTTCACCAGCCCAAAATGACAGCATTGCAGGGCTGGTGATGGCAGCGTGGCACAGCACCCATGGCCATAGTGCCCTGCAAAGCCACTTCATTTCAGCACTGGAGGTAAAGGGTGCAGCACAGCCAGGCCAGGAGCAGAGGCATTTCACTTTCCTAATCCTCTTGGCCTGCAGCTGGGATCTCTGTCCTGTCTCTGAGCTCTGATTGCCTGGGAGAGAGATAAGGGGTGGAAGAAGGACCAGTGTGGAGCAGACAGCATCTCTGGACTTGTTACAGTCACGGTCACTTGGAACTGGAGGCAAAAAGTTTTCATGGATTATCCGTGCAATGCCTGGGCTTAACCTCTGGCAGGAATGTTCTGGTTAAGTCCGGGACACACATGCAAAATAAGGGCTAAGGGGCTTGAGAAACTGCTGCTGGATGCTGAGGGCAGACAAAACCTCATATTGTTTGGGATGGTTTAGAGGAGGGAAGGAATAGGTGTGAGGGGAAAATATGCAGCAAGTCCAGAAAAACCAGCCTGATAACCCAGGGCAGAAGGAAAGTGCTGGATGCAAACTCACAGAGACTGACTGGTCTTGGTGAGGTTGTGTCCCACTGCTGCTGAGGGAGGCCTCAAGTTACTGCACTGAAATCTGTCCCCTCTTGACTCCCTTTTTACCACACAGGAAACAAAGAGCAGTCTGACAGAAAGCTGCAAATCAGTTGTGGGTGCCCCATCCCTGGAAGAGTTCAAGGCCAGGCTAGATGGGGTTTCAAGCTGCTTGGTCTAGTGGAAGGTGTCCCTCCCCATGGCAGAGGGGTTGGAACTAGATTATCTTTAAAGTCCCTTCCAATCCAAAACATTCTGTGATTCCCTAGTAGACTTCTCCTCTGCTCTCCCCCATTCTCCTCTGGGACACTGCAGGATGAACAAGCTCCATCCCTTGGTATATAGTCAGATATCCTGTCATGGGCCAAAAAAATACCTATTTTGAGTGGAGAAACATCAATCCAATTGCTTTATTGCCAAGTAACAAACCAGCCAACCAACACTTAGATGCCTCATTTCCCCTGTCCTGTTTCCCCACCCCTTGCTGCAGGTTACACCCAGACCTTTTGGTGAGGCCGTGGGTGGTGCAGGAGCTGGGGTTGGTGTGTGGGAGTCCCTTGCTCTTGCTGCTCCTTGTGTCCTACTCAACTGCTCCAGCACGGGCTCTTCCACTGGTCATCATCCTGCTGGATACTGTGCCTGCCCTGAACTTGTCTCTCCCTTTTCAGTGTTCCCTGCCCTTTCTTAAACACATTTCCATGGAGGCACTAATCTGACTTGGTTGGCTCAGTTCTGGGCCACAGTGTGACAATTTTTTCTGTGACCAAGCTGGGTGTCAGCAGCACAGGGCAATCCCTGACCAGACAAAGCAATGACATCTTCCCTCAAGCATGTCACCATGCTCTCTCTGTGACATGCTTTTCTATTCTTCCATCCTCTGGTGTTACTTTTACTGTTTTGGAAAATTATCTTCTTTTTTCCCCTTGCATGATTTGCCAAGTCCTTGTAAGATGAACACAATAATCCCTCATAAAGTTTTGACATCTCTAACAGGGCTATGTACATTTATGGTACATCTCAGCAATCTCTAGCAATTGAAACAAAAAAAAGCTCCAGAAATCCATTTAGTTTGGCTTGGAAATGGAAAAGCAATGAAAAATGTGCTGTTTAATCATGAAGTCATTGCTGACACCTCCCTACATGTGAGCAAGAGAATGAGTACTTGGTTTATTTCTTTTTCCTCTCCTGTGGTTTGTTTTGTTTATTATGCCAAAGGAAGTGAATCCTCTCAAGTATAATTTCTATTGCATGAGAGACATATTTTCTAACAGGGGTGAAGCTCCTCTGGATGTTATTTATCCCTACAGAAAGGAATCCTCGTGTGCAGGAGCAAATCAACACTTTGAGTCGAGACATGATTTTAGTACAAATCTGAAGAACAGGGTGCCAGGCCAGGCCTTTTCCAACCTTTTGGAAAACAAGCAGAGTCCTTTTTACAAAAAGGTAACCAAAAATGAATCCTACAGAAACAGGAGATTGGTCACTCATGCTTGTGTAACAAATTTTTTAATGTCATAGTTTCAAGGCTAATTTGTAGTTACTGTGAACTTTTTGTGAATCTTTAATTTCCTCTGACATCAAGCAAGGAAGGTGAACCAGATGGCACTGGGAAATCAGAGGCAGAAAGCACAGCCATGGTGTCTGGGCTGTGACAAAGCTGTTCCTCTCTCTGTCCCCAGCTGGGGGAGAAGAGGATGTGCCTCCCACTTTGCTGCCAGGAAGTGGTGTCAGTACGGCAGAGTAGGGGTTGCTTTCTCTCGGTTTCCAAGAAATCATGTGCTTTAGGCAGAAGGCAGCTGGCAAGATCAGGCCACAGAAATGGGTGGCACCTTCTACTCACCCAGGATCCAGCAGCCATCACACCTCTAGAGCTCACTGATGTCCTGGTTACAGGCACTACAAACCTCAGTGTCTTTTCTTATCCTTGAAACTTGGGGATCTGTGGCTCTGTGATTTTTATCACAAATACCCTCTTTGTTGTCCAGCAGGGTTCATCCCCAGCTCAGCAGACACACCTGTTTCAGAGGATGGCTGCCAGGGGCTCAGCAGCTGTAACTCTTATTTTCCCAATACCCGTGGTAGTGTCAGGCTGAGGGTGGAGCCCCCCATATTGCCAGGTTTCAGGGATGCTTAGCCCAAGACCCTGACACTCAGTGCTGCTTTCACAGAAAGGACAAACACCTGCATCTGCTCATGCTCAGTGTCTGAGGTTATCAACATAACCAGCTCATCAGAACAAGCAAAACTAGGAGCTGCAGTCATGACTGCCGGTGTCTGAATCCCAAAGCCCACCTGGCACATGGGTGGGAAAGGTTTCCCCACTGCCACTTTCCCAGACCATACTTCTCTTCCCATTCCAGGGCCTTGGTGAGCTCGGTGGAGCCATGTTGGGCTTTCCACTGGTGAAAATACCAAATGCAAAGAGTAAGAAAAAAGCAGGATTACTCATTTTCTTGGGACTTAGCCCCCAGAACAGCCCTTATGGAGTGTTCAGAGTGGTACCACCCGAACTGGTAGAAATGCACACTGGTGTTTGTTGTGAATATTTTTATTGCATGCACAAACATTTTAAATTTAACATTTAAAATTTCAAAATCATTTCACTTTTATGCAGGTTAGTCCTGAATGCTGCTCTCATGATTAACAACATTCAGTACACGGCCAGCAGTGACTCTAACATGATCATTAACTAATAAGGATGACAGTGTTGAGTTTTCTTGCACTGTATCCACCTAACCAAGAGTTTGCATTGGGGGAGGCTGGTGTTCAGCAGAGAAACTTGACATCCTTAGTAAAGGGAAAGAAAGCCAACTCCACAAACCCCAGCCCACCCTGAACCATCAGTGTGCTATCAGCATCATTCTGGAGCCAAACCATACACCAACATAAGGGTTGCTATGAAGAAAGTTAACTCCACCTCAGCCAGACCCAGCACACTGCAGGACTGCATCCTTTTTGTGGACAAATTTAGGCTCATGAAGCCTTCACAGTGCTCAACTTTTGCACAGGTGCTGCAGGCAGGAGGAAAGAGATCAGCTTTTAGAGATCTAGAAAATATCGTGCCCAAATCAGAGATGCAGAGTACCAGGGCTGGACAGAGGCATCAGGCAGCAGCATATACACTGTTCATATCTGTAATGTTACAATCTGGCATTTATATCTGCCCAACTGATGAGATTGAAACACCCAATCATTTAATGGAAACAGCACTCCCACAGGTTTTAGACACAAGCCCCTAGACTGGGTCACTCAACTCCCTTGTCTAGGATACTGGAGCTTTAATTACATAGAGTTTATATAAATCATGTTCTGAAGAAAATAGAAATCCACTGAATATCACCCCCAGCAGAATTAAACCTGGACTCCAGATAAAGTGACCTGATGTCAGAGAAAGAGAAGACATAGCTGCAAGACAACATCAGGCTAAAATAAACAGCTATGGGCTGCTTTATGTGGAAATTAGACACCAGTCCAGAGGCTTTCCATCCAAACACAGGTAGGTCACAGATGATTGTATTGGTGGGTGGACTATTGTATTCAGAGATGCAAGCTAAAAGGGCATGAGATAAAGCAGCAGGAAAACCTGCTGTCAGATACAAGAGAAAATGAGGTGTTGGTGAGGAATGGAAGGAACCAGAGAATCAGACTAGTAGTCTTCCTGTGTAAACAGAAAGTTGAATGATGGACTTATTAGTCCAATTGTCTCCTTTATCCTTTAGAAGTCATAGAATTGTTAGAATTATAATGGTTGGAAAAGGCATCTAAGACCTGTTCAATATGATGAGTAATTATAAGATAAAAAATCCATTATAACTGTCCGACTTGCTTGGGAAGTAACATCAGTACATGTGGCTTTAAATTCAGTAAGCCCAAATTGAATCTCCACCTTCAGCATTCGATTTGTCCCCAGCCACGTGGCTGGTGATGGCACTAAACAGGAGCCAAGCAGTTCCATCCCTTCCTCATCCACATACTGAGCATTCTGCTTTTTTGTACAATAGAAAGCAAAGTTTACCTTTGTTTGATCTGGTTCTATTGGAAAGAAATCATAGCAGGCAGCTTCATGTATGTTCACTGACTCCCCAATTTCCACCAGTTTCTGGAAGAGATCCGTGCAATAAACATAGTCACCAGCTTTTGAGACCCTCCGTTTGCGGGCGTCATGGATAGCATCATCAAATTTCTCACATATTCTTAAGCCATATGTCCTACAGCTGATTCTTGAGGTAATGATGTGTGGATTAACTCCAAATAAAACAGCCCCTTTTGCAATGGCTGCCTGGGCCTCCATGGGACAAAGGATGTCATACTTGCTGCTAAAGGCCTGCCTGACTGCATCTCGCAGGATGATGCTGGATGCAAAGCCTCCCACAAGTAAAATATACTGGACTTTGTCCATCTCAGGTTTGCAAAGAATTTTCCTCAAAGCAAAAATTATATTGTTGATACTGTAGTCAAACAAGCTCTTCATTTTCTCATATGTAATCATGATTGTCCCATCGCACCACACAGCTCCTGCTGCTTTTTCAAAGAACTTGGAGATGTCCTTCTTGGACTCTGCCAGTCTGGTCAGGTTGTAGTAGCAACGTATGTAGACTGCCTCCCTGCTAGCAGAGCATTTCTGTAGGCTGAAGTTGTACATCATATTTTGAAATTCAGTAGGGTGCTTCTTCACATATTCATCCCATAAGTCATCACTGAATATTTCCTTGAGGAAATTGATGAAGTTTTCATCCACTCTGTTGCCTCCCCATCCACCTCCAGTTGCCTTATGTAGCTCCTTTATGTAATGGTTTTCTTGGATCTCATGTACTGTGATGTCTATGGTGCCACCTACATGTGTAAACACACACACAGGGACAGAGACTCAAATTAATTGTGCTGTTTGCTTTAAAGTACACGACTTTCCAAAGAATTTAATCTTACCTTCTGAATTCCCGATTCACAGATGTGCTTTTCTGCTGCTTTCTTTCCTCATCCTCACTCTTCTGTTATTGCCTGTACTTCTCTAGATTTCAATAATTTCTGCACTTTTGTTTACAAGCCTGTTCTCACGAGGCTCCTACAGTTATTTCTGATACGAGCTGGATGCTCCAGCTTGCTCACTGAACAAGCCAATCTCCTGTCTGACCACAGACTGAGCCTGGCCTCCTCACATAGGAGGTTGACTCCTGAGCAGTGGTGAAAAGACTCTCAGGAACTTCTTGTCCTCCTGATGCCTCTTTGGTATTTGTTTGCAATCACCAGACTGCTCTTGGCAGAAAATTCACACCAAAAAACCTCAGGAATCTGGCAATATTACTGAGAAGTGCTTCATCAAATATTCTTAATGACTTACTCTCCAGTGCCTGCTAGCTCTTCTCTTTGGTCACTTCACTGGGCACTAAATACAGTTGCTTCTGGAGAGGAGGCTGCGAGCTCAGGCTACACAAGAGCACGTGGCACGTGCCGGTGGCTGACGCTGGGACACCGTGCTGGCTGATCTGGTGTGGGGCAGGGCCTCGTGTTGTTACTCTCTGGCCTGAAGAGCACTGCAATGTGAGACACAGCCCTGTTCTTTCCTCCTATTTCTCTGCCTGCTCGCAGGATCTCATTAGGTGAGAAATAACATTAGAAAAAAACCATGACAAGCACAGCAGTGGAGTCCAAGCTCTGGAACCTTCACCTGTTGTGAAACAGCCATGCACCACGCCCAGCAAAGATGGTACCTGTTAAACAGGGACAATTTTACCTCCACAGTCAACGACAACATACTGGATCCCAGGGGAGTCTTCAAACTTCTTCTTGTCACTGCCGTCTGCCATAAACCCTTCATGTGGAAGCTGCTTGCACCACAGCGATGCAGCTTCTGGCTCCAAGGCAATGATCAGGTTCCTAGAGAGCATGTCAGAGATAATTCCTGCCTAAAATCACAAAAGAGAGGAATCTGGTCAAGGAAAGGGAGTGAGATTACTGTTGCATGAACACCTCCTGCTAGGGAGACTGTTCTCACCCTAGCAGCTCAAGCAGGGGTGGTGGTTCTTGCACTGCTGATCTCTGTGGGGCTCATTTCTCCCCAGTGGTGGGGAGAGAGGGCAGAGCTGTTGTACTGCCATTTGGGGACATCCTCTCCCTCACCACCCTCAATGTGAAAGACTTCTCTGCCCAGTGGACTGAAATTTGGAATACAAGTTGTTTACATATTGAGGAGTTCCTGAGGCTCAGTTGGGCAAAGAAGCCTCCAAAGGTCATTTGAGGAAATGGGGTAACCCCTGCTTTTACCTCTTTTGCTGCCAGACGCATGAACTGCTTGGCAGCAGCGCTCCATATGGCCGGGACAGTAACGACCCAGGTGATCTCCTCCTGGTCGTAGACAGTGTGGAAAGAGGCCTCCTTGATGGTGTTCAAAGCATGTTCCTTCATGTAGCGCAGGCTTTCGGAAAAGACTGTCAAGGCAGGAAGGAACTTTCCATTGGTGGCTTTCAGCTTCATGCCAGCTGTGACATTCTACCAAAAAAAAGGCCCAGGGTCACACGGTGCAGTGTCGGTATGAGACCTGTCCCCTTCACACCAAGCACTGCACTACATAAGGCACCCAGACACCCCTGTCTCCAAACCAAACTCCCAGCACTGGCTTCACTACTGTGGCAGAGTCTAAGTGGCACAGGTCAGCTACCAAACTGCTTACCCACCACACCTGTGATTCAGAAGGCAAAATGTCAATGTGGTTGATAATTCAGCTGTTTCTCCTCGGCCAAATTTTGTAAAGACCCTGCAGATCCTATAGATTCCTGAAGAGCCAGTGGGGAGTGATACTGTAATGAAATTTTTTTTCACCACTTGCTCCTCAGATGCAGAGAAATAGTTCTAAACTAAAACCTCTCTCCAGCCCCTGCTGAAAGTGAACCAACCGCTCCAGAGGTGACATTGTGACAGACCACATCATCCCCAGCTGTCCTGAGGAGGAAAATCTTCAAAGAGGCCTCCATCCACCAAAGAGAGGACCTGAGGCTTTTCCTGGGACTGGCCTTGTGCTCTCAAGCATAGCTTATTCTATGCTTGAGAGGCCCTGTGGGACGCTGGAGCACAGACAGGAAGGCCCTAAGGTAGTCTGGTGTTTGGCTGAACAAGTAAACACAGATAAAGCTGTGAACTATTCCAAACCAGCACAGAGCCTTCAGAGAGAAATTTGATAAAGCCACTGCAGGCCTCAAAGACAGCTGGACACCCTTACGTTAGCTTCAGCATAACATTTCAAGGGAGGGAGAGACAAGCTAGGGGGAGCTTTATTACATGGGATGAGAATTTAGGTAATCCCAAGACTGCCCATCTCCTTTGAATTACAGGAAATTTCACTTGATCCCTGTTTCTTGTTGAGGACTAAGGTAGAGTCCCAGAGGGAGACCAGTTTCTCTGTCAATCTCAGGACCAGGGCAGCTTATATTAGGAACAGGTATTTGCCTTCACCCATGTATGCAGTCACAGTTTATTGTCTTTAGACAAAAAAACATAATAAAGGAAGGGCCTGGGAAGCTTTTGGCAATTAAAAAAAAAAAATTTTTTTTATTTTGTTCATCAAAATACTCTCTGACTTCATTCATTCTCACCAACCAGACTTACTCAGCCCTTTTACTGGATTCTCTAACCCTCACCCCTCAAATAAATGAATAGCCCCGACCCCCCTTAGTAGTAACTTCCACCTACCGTGTTGTACAGCTGCATCTTGAAGTTCTGGAAGAAGTACCAGCTGTCAGCTTGGCTGGAGGGCAGGCTCTTGTACTTCATCACAGCATCATAACCAAAATATTTGAACTCCTTCTTCTCGTTGAACAAGATGCTCGTAGGCATCTTTGGGGTCTTTACACCATGCTCTGCTCCCCAGTAAACCTGGCGGATTTGGTCCGTACCTGAAGCAAGAGAAAAACAGTACCCGCTGTAGGACGTGCCAAAATCTATAGCGACGACGAAGACTGACTGGCTGGCCATGGCCACTGCAGGGCAGGCACACAGCTCTGGGAGAGAGAGGCGTAAACAGGACTGGACTGAAACTGAAAGGACTGATATTGCAGAAGGAAGGGCAGTGTCCCCTGATTTTATTGGCTGGAGAGAGATGTGACCCTAGACATCCTGTAAATTCTACGTTTTCCTGTAAAAACGCAGGGCTTTCTTCTGCTTTTTGTAGCAGCAAAGTGCCTTTGTTAGGGAACTGTCTTATCAGTAGCTTTGTGCACTCCCAGCAGCATCAACGGTCCTCAGTGCTGCCCACACGTTTCAACAAACTTTTTTTGCTGCCGCATGAACAGACGAAAGGTTTCTGGCTCCAGCAAAAGAAAAATGTGGGTTGTGGCCAATGTTTTTGGTCAGAGAAAAGCAGAAGTGTCGGATACACCTGATATTTCTGGCTCCAGCAAAGGAGATGTGTTGGGTACACCCAGTGGTTCTGGCTCCAGCACAAAAGTGTGGCGTACATCCAGCATTTCTGACTCCAGAGAAACAGAGTCATGGCATACATACAGTGTTTCTGGCAACAGAGGAAGAGAGGTATTGGAAAGACAATGTGAGGATACTGATCCCAGAAAGACAACTGCAGAAGGCAGCAGGTATGTTACACAAGGGGATATCTCTGGGTAAGCTTATTGAATCTTCCTAGGTCTGAATATTTCTACAAAGTTTCTTGGAGGGTTGCATGAGTGCTGAATTGCAAACATTTTCTGACTGTGAAATATTCAGTAAGAGCTCTGTTTTCCACTTCCTAACTTTTCTAGCCATCACAGAGATGGTAACTGTCCCCAAATTCTGCTCAAGTTCAACTCCAAAGTGGGAGGCAGATCCCATTAAATTGGTGCAAGAGGAAGAGGAACTAGAAATATCAGTATAAAGATTGTGACAAGATCTGGGATTTCATGGCTCTGACTCAGAGCTCATCAATTTTGCAAGGAAAGGTGGAGTAAAATATAAATTTTTTACTGGATTGTTTAGCTTAAAGAAAAAGATAGTGTCTTCAGTGAAAGACTGAAAGTGAAGTGATTTAACTGAAAAGGTATCAATCCAAGTAAACAAAACCAAAATGTGCTTCAGTGGGAAGGAGTAATGCAGCAGAGTCCCTTGCAGCAGCTGTGCAGCCTCCTATTAGCATAAACCAAAGGTAAAGCCTCATGCTGAGGCTTGCTCTGACATCTGGTTGTGGGGATGAGATTGTTCTGTATTCCACCTGGATCCACGCTGCAGGAGCACCTTAATCTGGGACTGTTTCTCTAATAATAGTTGATATTTGGGATCCTTGTGAGGAAACAGGACACAGCAGTTGTACAAATAAAAAATTACCTTGAGAACACAGAACTTTGTACTCCTCTGTTAAAAATAAATGTACATTGCAAAGCTGGTTCTAGCAGAACAGTCACCTGCATTTGCTGTTCCCCTCCTCTCTGCAAGTCTGGGTTGAGTTTGTTTTCCAGGAGCTGTCCTTGTATCTTGCCCACTTTATCCAGACCTAATGATTAGTCAAACCCTCCTGGTTTTGGCATACCCTGGGGTGGGAAATAGCAAAAGTAAGAAGATTTCTAGAAAGCTTTAGAAGCAGGCCTTAGAAACAGGAAGAACAGAAAACTTAAGAGCTAGCTGCAGCAGAAAAGTCTGAAAGTAGAAAAAGTTACAACAGTACAGCAAGTAAGGACATGAAACAATAGCTTGAGTTTTAGGGTGGCTAAGATAGATAGCCTGTGGAGTCCTCTGAGCTGTATCAGGCATTATCTGGGACAGTGCTAACTCACTTGTTCCAAATCTGCACCTGTGTGCCCTTTGTCCTGTCTCTGATCCTTTTCCTGGTGTGGATGTAGCCATGAAGCCTCTGCTCACAGGAGCAGCAATTATAAAGTACTTTTTTCAAGGATGTGCTCTTACCCTGCTTCATTATAAGAATTCCCTTTTCTTTTTTCCTCAGCTATATATCTGACACCTCACCACAGTCATCACCCTATGGAGACCAGACTTCTAACATGAAGGAAATGTTTGAAATTATGAAAGAGATGGACAACAAAAAAACAAAGGAAATGTTTGAAATGATAAAAGAGATGGACAATAAAAAAATGAAGGAAGTGCTCGAAATGGTAAAAGAGATGGACAATAATAAAACAAAGGAAATGTTTGAAATGGTAAAAGAGATGGACAACAAAAAAACAAAGGAAATGTTCGAAATTATGAACGAGATGGACAACAAGAACACAAAGGAAATACTTGAAATTATGCAAAAGATGGACAACAAAATAATGTGAGAGTCCAGTGACCAAAAATGACACTGTTAAGTGTGGCCTCTGACAATGATCCATAGCTGGTGCTCACTAGGGTGGGTGGGACAGAAAATGAGCCAGACACTGGGAGGGCTCTGCATTAGCAACAAATTTTGCCCAGACTATACTGGGAACCCAGAGCCAATTCACAGAAGCTGCTGGCTTTGCACCATGTAACATGCAGATCTTACACTTCGGGTATTTTATTTGCACTGTTGGTATTGACTCAGAGAATGACCAACCACGTACCTGGCAAAGAACAGCCTTGACAAGTTTTGGTCTCTAAATTTCTTTTCACTATGGGTTGATCAGAAATTGGAGGGAGGAAGTTTAGCTTGTGCATTTTTTAAGACTTTATTGCATACTTGCCCACTGATTGCAATGTGGTTTATTGTTTCTTTCTTTCCTTTATGGATGGATGGACAATGAGAACAGAGCTTTGTCTGACACTGTTCACACTCTACTTCACCTTCTGGATAGTCACAACAGGTAATGTGATTCTTTTCATTAATAATCAGTGTAAGAGGGGAAAATCATTATGATCCTCACAACCACACCTCTATTTCTTCTGATGTAAATAGCTTCCCACTTGATTTGAGCATAAATTCTGGGTGGGAGCTTTTAGGGGAGGTGTTCAGCTCTCCGGAGTTTTCCTGGATGCTCTTGCCCTTTCCCACCTCAGAGCTTTTGTCCATGAACTCACATTATTCAATAGGGGCATTTCCATGTTGTGCCAGTGTCCAAGTACAAATAAAGAGATCTCCCAAATCTGTTTCAGAGCACTTCCTGAGAGGGTAATCCAAATACTGCATAAGGAGAAAGAGGAAAATGAGATGCTGAAAGAGAAGACCAAAAAGCTAGAGGAAAGGTAAGGCATTTACTCATATTTCAGACATAGTGTGTGTTTCTACACTGAAAAGCCACATACTTCTTGCTTCCCCCAGTCCCTGGGGACTCTATTTCTGACCAGACATCCCAGACACCTTCTCTCCAGACTTTCAACCTGCCAGCATCTCTTTGTAACTGACTTCTGGAAGATGGTTTGGGTTGTTCTGCAAAGGGAAGAAGACATTCTCAGGGTAACCAGCTAAATAAAGAGTAAAAGAAACCAGTCTGCAATGACATGATCAAGATGCCCCTCTGATCAGATTCTACTATGATCATGCAAAACTGAGCTGACAAAGCACTGTTTTCCACAAAATAGCTGCTTGCCACCTATAGAATATAAATGAGAAGTGCATTGTAGAAAACATGGCATTCATTAAACAGTTTCATACGTAAAATATTTACATTTGCTCATTATTTCACCTTGACTTAGATATGTTTTTTAATATCCTCCTTGACCTAGAATCCAAGAGCTGTTGGCTAAAGTGATGGCCATGCACCAGCACTCTGAGGACATCAATGACCCTTCACGTTTGTCTGCTGTGCTGGAGAGATACGAGATGCTGAGGCTGCAGGAATGGGAGAAAGTCAGGAGCTCCATGCCCCACCGCTGGACCTATGAAGAAGGCAGTTGCACCATTAGGGTTTGTTCAAGGCCATTTTCTTCATCTGATTCTTATCACATCAATTATGGTGTCGCCATGTAGCAGCCTTTGAGTATTTGTATTTCTGTGGGGCCTAAGTTTGGGTCTCTGATTTTCCAGCCCAGCAGGGCCTGTGGAAGGCTGTAGAGATCAAACTGACAGTGACCTTCTTCCTCCTGCCTTGCAGAAGGGCACACTCAAATACTAGTCCCATCTCTCACACGTGTTAAGCACAAGTGGGAAAACAATCCACTTTCCTTATGTTAGTGCTTGAACTGATAGCTGGGAGACCTCATTTTGATGTCTGACTCACTGCTGTGATGCTGGAGACATCTAAAGGAAAATACCAAAGTGGTATTACCTTGAAGAACAAGACTGAGATGAGGCCATTATTAGCATTGACTGTGATGACAAGGCCCCACAGATGCTGAAGAATGGGCTCAATATGCAAGCAGCTTGATGAAACAGTTTGTTTCACAGTCATTGAAGACATATTTCAATCAATTAGCAGCCCTGTAATTCACTCTAATGCAGATGTTTTCTTAGCTTTGCACAATACACCTGTGGTTTCACTGTGATTGATGCTGTAATCAGTTGTTGTTTTTGCACTGCAGAAGGTGTTTGATGCCTGTGAAAAAGATATACAACAGAGAACAGAGGACATACTTAAAGTTCTTTACATTCCACCTTCAAATAAGGTAAAAATACCTTTGACCAAGGTATTTTATGTTTTTTTTATGTTTCTGTAAAAGGGCCCTTTATGGCCTGTAAAAGGGCCATTGGCACCTGCCATTGCATTTAGAAGTTTGTTTCTGCTTAGGACACTGCTCAAAATCTGTCAGCAGTGACACTGGGGTAACTTCTGAGCTGAGAGGTCTGGGGCCAAACTCTAGCAACCCCAGGGGTGAAAGGAGCACTGGATAAACAGGCCTTTCTCTCTAAGAGTTCAGCTGTTAAGCAGTGACACTGAGGATAACTTCTGAGCTGAGAGGTTTGGGGCCAAGCTCTAGCAACCCGAGGGATGAGAGGAGCACTGGATAAACAGGCCTTTCTCTCTAAGAGTTCAGCTGTTCCACGGAGAAGCAGGGAGCTGGACTTGAGGATCCCTGTGGGAGCCTTCCAAAATTAAATTATTCTGTGTCCCATGATACACAGCCATACACTGCATATCTGAATTGTCCAGCTGGATGAAGCACCTATA